GAAGCAAATCAGACAACTTTAGGTCCTCGTCGGAGGCCACCCGACCCTCGGTCTTGCGGGCCTTCTCCAGACAGTCGGCAACTTTGGTATAGAAAGACTCCAAATCCGTTTGATCGAAGGTCGCCAACTGGACCAATGAGGACGACATCTTGATATACGTGTCCGACACGTCTGTCCGCAAAGAGATAAAAATTAGTGGTCAAACAAAGCGATCGTATGATAGAAACGCTGTGTCCGTACTTTTGTGTGAACGAGTCATTCGGTCGGCTTTAGTGGTGGCGTCGCGTATATGCGAGAAGTATTCGGTGAGAAAGAGGCGCTCCCTCTCGAAGAACTCGTCCACGTCTTTCATGGTAGAGGAGAGTAGCATATCGTCGGCCGACAGCTTAATGTTACTGAACAGACCGGCCAACCGTTCCTTCTTATTCTTCCCCCGAACGCTCAACTGAGACAATAAACACAATCAAATGGTTATCAAATGCCATAACGGATCCAATGGCCGTAAATAACAACTAAAGGCAACAATAAATCAATGCATACATCGCTGTCGTACTCCAGGAATATGCGAAAGTTCGCGTCGTTCTTGAACTTGGGATGAATGGCCAGCCGCTGGAGGAACACCTCGTGCATCGCCACTGTCTTCTTGAAAGTGGCCAAATACTCGGCCTCCAACTCCTGCTTCATCTTCTGGAACTCCTCTTTAGTCATCGTTCCCTCGCCTTCGCCCAACTTTTGCAACTTCTCGCGCGAGGCGTCAAAGTCTGGCCGCGGAGGCGCCGGTGGTATCTGTTTTGACGGAGACGAGTGGGTGGTTGTGTCAACACATGGATCAGATTCGAGACTCAAACTGATGGTCACTTACGATGAAACCGCCGTACAGTTCATTGTCGACGAGTGAGGTGTGGAGCCAAATGAACTCCTCGTGCTGTCGGACGACCGAAAAGTCTGGAGACTTGAACTCTGGAAGCGTTGTCTAATGAATATCAAATAAGAAGATATACGTGTGGTTAGTGTCGTGCATGACTACTGTTATCATAAACATCGGTGACCACAAGTAGGCACACCAGTCGGCCATACCTTCGTGTGTATAGTGAACTTCACGCGATCTCTTTCGCTCAACGCGTCCGATATATCGACGGCGAGGGCCGTGTCTGCGGCCAAATCGATGGTATCGGACCGGCTCTGTGTGGGTG